TCCAAGCTGGGCTTTTGTCTTTCCTCCCGTACCTTGCAGACCTTTCCCAGCCAAATCTCCATGGAAGGAGAGATGAAGCCTTTCAAGGCTGGGGAAGCATCACCTCCCTTGTCACTGAGATGAGGGGCTGGACAGTGGTGGTGACCCTCTTCCTGATGGTCTCTGGTGCTCCAGACCCACCTTGCTGCCCTGAGCTGGCCCATGTCCCTGGCTTGGCAGATGACCTGCTCAGTGCTGGAGAGACCTCAGCTAATGCTGCCTTTTTGGGGGCTGCTGGAGGAGAATGAGAGGCATATTTGCCCCCTCAAGCCAGTCTGAATTAGTGCTGATCCCTTGGGGAGAGCCTTGTCTGTGACTGCTGAGACTTCAGCACCCTTCCTTGCCTCTTGGTCTCTGTTTGTCCACCCTCCCCTCCTGCCTACTTGTTCTTCCCTCCCTGTTCCAAACAAGTTGTCACTCCAGAGCCAGAGTCACAGTGTTTTCCAAAGCACTTTGGAGCACAGCTCAGGGCAGTGGCACTGGTGGCCATTCCAGGACCCTCCCTGCCAGGAGCCCCCCAGGCCCTGCAGTCTTCTGAGAGAAGTAGCCTGGCCCTAATCCCTTTGTGCAGAGTTCCTGCCTCTTTCTTTCTATGGGTGCGTTTGTATAATTTGCATTTTGCACTCTGATCGTATGCAAGGAATTCAGATTGAAATGGGGGCTTGAATAGATTTGCATGCTAATGAGGCACTGGCTTTATTTGTTTATTTGGAGCCCTCTCAAGCAGGCAGCAGTGCTGGAAAGCAGCTCCTGCAGCTCTGGTGGGGACAGAGCTCTCCAGCAGGACCCTCATTTTTATCCCCAGACCCACTTACCTGCTGTGCACAAGCAGTTGAAAGGGGTGGTCTCTGCTCCAGCAGCCCTTGGCTCAGTCCTTCTCAACCCCTGTGGAGCAGCAGTGTGGAGACCCACAGTTCCAACCCATCTTAACTAACCAGAGATGCCTCTTTAAGGTTATACTGGTGTTACCTGGGTCTGGCCTTGCCACTGAGTGAGGTGCAAACACTCCTGTGTCAGGGCTGGTTACACCAGCACGAGCCCCTCGCTGAAGGGTGCGATGGTCTGTGAGCCAACAACGGGAGCGTGTCCCGTCCTCTCCTTGACTTTGCAGTGCTGCTCAGGGGGGCTGGGCCCTGCTGGCCACGGCTCCCCGTGTTCCTCAGCAGACCATGACCCTTCTCTTCCTGACAGGGCCGTTATTTCTGGTGTCTTTCAGCAGCTGACCTTGGGCTGTTGCATCAGTGCTGCCCATCAATCCTGCGCCGCTGCCAAATCCAGCTTCCCTTGGTGCTCCTGTGCTCCCTCAACGGGAGCCTTCCAGCCTCTCTTAGTCAGCAATAGATCTTGGAAATATTGAGGAGGAGAAGCCAAGGGCTGGGAGAAAACCAGTTCCCCAAACTCTACGCCAGTATGGGGAGGAAAACAAGACCCCACAGCCCAGGTGCTTCACTGACCGGCAGCACCGCAACCCTTTGCTGTGCTCTGGGTCCCAGCAGATAGACCCGGCTTAGGGCTCAGTGCTGAGCCTTTCGTGCCAGCTCTGCCTCCCCAGATGACTCCTGCTGCAGCCACTGCCACTCTGAACACGGGCCAAGGCAGGCCTTCTGAAATGGCAGCAGGAATTGGGTCACATCGTGCTGCCCCAGGAGAGCGAGTTCCTCTCCGAGCAGTCTGGCTTCCAGTTATTATTTTACAGGGGATGTTAGAGCTTGATAAGGGAGCTCTTCTGACTGCCAGTGGGGCTTATTTGGGGCTTATTGGATGCTCCAGTTTAGATTTTAATATAGTCAAAGGTGACTTACAACTTTAATATGAATTTTAAAACCGATTGCTCGAGTTGTTTTTTTTTTATCTGCGTTAAAGCAGATTAATCTCAGCCTTCCTTGATCCCGTCGGTCGCTTTTCTCTCCGCGCTTGGAGACACACGTGGTCTGTGTCGCACCAACAAAGGCCGAGGAGGAAGATGTTTGTGTGGCGATAAATAATTGTCGCGGGGCCGCTTTTCTTCCGGAGAAATCTCCGCTCTCCGAGCCCGACAATGGCATCAGTGGGAGCTCCTGCTTTTGTACGAGGCTCCCGCCTCAGCCTGCAGAGCGGGGCTTTGCCGAACAATGTCCAGCTTTGTGCTTCCCAGGGAAAGCTGCTCCTCGCCGCTGTGTTTGCCCCCAGTTTTCCAGGCTCTCCACCACCCGTCTCCTCCCGCGCCGCTTTGTGCCGCCGGTTCCTCGCTCTGCTGCTTGCGAGGTGTTTTGTGCCTGAGGTGACAATACTGAGTGGGCTGAGAAGGTGGCCTCGGGGCAGCGGGGTGGGCCGTGGTGAGCCGCAGTGGAGTCCTTGTCCTGCCTCTGGTTCCTTGAGCATCCTCAGGCGGAGGATCCAGCGGGGAATGTTCTGCCTCTGGGCACCTAATTTGTGGTGTTTGGAGCCCCTGGGAACACCAGGGGTTTGCCTGATGCTTTGGGTAAATGTCACACCTTTCAAGGTGACCAGCTGGGTACCCAAAACCGAGCAGCTCTTGGCCAAATTCAGCAGTGCTGCAGGGCTGCCTGAAGCAGAGGCTGGTGCTCTCTGGCACTTTTCTAAGTAATCCCAGAATCATGGAATGGTTTGGGTTGGAAGGGACCTTAAAGCTCATCCAGTTTCACCCCCTGCCATGGGCAGGGACACCTTCCACCAGCCCAGGTTGCTCCAAGCCCCGTCCAACCTGGCCTTGGACACTTACTTCCAGGGATGGGTAATCCCAAATCATGTGGTTTAAGTGAATCCCCTTGACTTGATAGTTGGACTTGATCTTAAAGGTCTTTCCAACCTTAACAATTCCACGTTTCTATGACTTAGCTCCAGGTGACCAGTTGTGTTGCCACGGGTGCTCTGGATTTAGGAGCAGCCTTGTTGGTGCTGCCAGTCTGTGGACCATCAGTGGGCAGCTGGGCTTTGGAATTAGAAGACAAGGGTCAGAACTGTGGCTCTGGAGATGTGTGGGCATAAATCTTCGTGTCCTGAGCATTGGTCAGCCTGTGTACCAGTGGCACTAATTAATTTTACCCCAAATAATGAGTTTACACTTTGCTGGGCTGGGAGTGTTCCCTGTACCTCAGGCAGTGATTGCAGGAATCAAATGCTCTGTAACCAGCCTTTAGTTTTTTCCTGGTTTATTGGGGGATGGCACTTCACTGACGGTCCGTGCTCTCCAAAATTCCTCCCCAGTGCTGCCTGCAGCTTTTCTCCTGCCAGCCTTACCCATAACTGCTTTTCAGAGCTCGTTATTCCGTGCACAGTGCTGCATATCAACGTGCTGGATTGGTGGGCTGGGAGCTGGGTGAGCTGGGTGGGTCTGACAGTGGCAGGTGAGGGAACTGAGGCACAGGGAGACCCACGTGAGTTGGTGCCACAGCTCGGGGAGGGGGGGAAAACAGGAGGGTTTGCTCGCTGGAGCTGCCCCATGTCTGTCTGCTCCCTAAATTCCAGCCTGAAATAGGGAACCACCAGGTGTTGTGTTGGCTCAGGAGCCGAACGGGAGCGACGAGGCAGCGATGAGACTGAAGAGCCTTTAAAGGCAAGACTTGACACCGCACGAGCGAGTGCCGAGCAGCAGCCACATAAATCCCATTTGTTTTACATTTCAGAGCTTAATGAGACAGAAATCACATGGCAATTGTCACATGTGAAGGCAGAGATGGCTGCTTTGCCTTCAACTGCAGCAACCACCGTCTGCAGCTCCGAGGAAGCCGTGATCTCACCCACCCTGTACCTGCAAAGTGCTGCTGGCCTGGAGCTCAGCACCAATCCTGGGGGTTTATAACCCCCCTGGCAGCCACACCAGCCTCACACCTTCCCCAGAATAGTCAGCACATCACATTCTTCACGTAGAGAGTCATAGAATGGTTTGAGTTGGGAGGGGAATCAAGTCCAGGAAGGCGATTCTTGTGTGGTTTCACTGGGCTGTGGGTGTTGAAAACCTGTGCGGTGTCTTTTGGGGTGATTTGTAGGAATTTTAATAAGACCAAGTACAAGGTGCTTCACCTGGGTCGGGACAACCCTTGGGATTGATCCAGGCTGGGATGAAGGGATGGAGAGCAGCTCTGGGAGAAGGACTTGGGGGTGCTGGGGGAGAGGCTGGACATGCCCTGTCCATGTGCCCTGGGCTGATCCCACAGCGTGGGCAGCAGGGCAGGGGGGGATTGTGCCCCTCTGTCCCTTCAGGTGAGACCCCCCTGCAGAGCTGCCTCCAGCCCTGGGGAACAGCACAACAAGGACATGGAGCTGCTGGAGAGAGTCCAGAGGAGGCCCCAAGAGGATCAGAGGGGTGAAGCAGCTCTGCTGGGAGGAAAGGCTGGGAGAGCTGGGATTGTTCAGCCTGGAGAGGAGAAGGCTCTGAGGCGACCTTAGAGCCCCTTCCAGGGCCTAAAGGGGCTCCAGGAGAGCTGGAGAGGGACTGGGGACAAGGGATGGAGGGACAGGACACAGGGAATGGCTGCCCACTGCCAGAGGGCAGGGATAGATGGGATATTGGGAAGGAATTCTTCCCTGTGAGGGTGCTGAGGCCCTGGCCCAGGTTACCCAGAGAAGCTGTGGCTGCCCCATCCCTGAAGTGTCCAAGGCCAGGTTGGACTTAGAGCAACATGGTCCAGTGGAAGGTGGAAGGGGTGGAACAAAATGAGGTTTAAGGTCCCTTCCAACACAAACCCTGCTAGGATTCGATGTGCTTTGCCCACCAAGGGATGGAAACATTCCCGGGAATCATCTCAACCTGTGTTAACCATCAAGCTTTGCCCCTTTTATCAGGTAGCCCTATAGCTCTTTAAGATGAGCTGAACAATAGCAAGATATGAATGCCAAGGATGCATTAGCTCGGGTAACTTTGCTTCATCTCTGCTAATTTGTGCCTTCGCTCTCCAGATAATGTTCATAAATTGCTAAAGCAGTATTTTAATATTAACATAAGCTACAGTCTCTGTGACAACTGTTAAAGAATGGGTTGTATTTGGAGCTCTGAAATTGATTTTTTTTTCCTCTCCTTGTCTGTCAGAACTGAAAAACTGCAGATGAAACGCTATGTTGGGTTAGCTGAAAACAAGACCAAAAATATTTGTTTCAGGTCAAATGAAACATTTCATTTGATACGATACGTTCTTTGTTCAGACTTAAAAAACCTTTTTTAAAGTAAATTAACTTCAGAGATGTCTTGGGGGGGAAAAAAAGTCTGAATGTTTCATGTAGATGGAAAAATGTCTAAATAAAACACTTTCACTCTTGACACCCACTCCTCCCCTTTCAGTCTGAACCACTGAATGGGTTTGATGGGAGCTCATGAATAGTATCAGTTGACCCACATCTGGGTTGGAATTATTGTGCCAAAGACACAGGGGAAGAGTTCATGAGTCATTTTTTTAATGGGTATCTCGGTAGGTGAGAGAAGTTGTGAAATGATACGTGTGAAGGAATAATGGGGCCCTCGTTAGATGACTAAATCTCATTCTTAATCATCCTGGGGGCGAGGAAGAGGGGAAATTGTGAGTTAGAGAAGTTGTGGGTGAATAGTATTTTGCAGCTGGTCTGGAGCTCGGGGGGGGGGGCTGGGCTGGGTTTTAGGAGAAGGTTCTTCCCCAGAGGCTGGTTGGGCACTGCCCAGGCTCCCCAGGGCAGTGGGCACAGCCCCAAGGCTGCCAGAGCTCCAGGAGGGTTTGGACAAGACTCTGAGGGACAGGGTGGGATTGTTGGGGTGTCTGTGCAGGGCTAGGGGTTGGACTGGATGATCCTTGTGGATCCCTTCCAAGGGGGGTGACCAAACCCAGGCTGCCTTGAAACCCAGCTGGGTCATCCCTGGTGTTGAACTCCAGCCTCGTGAGGTCGTTTCCCTCTGGAGGCTCCAGGATGGGGCGAGTCAGGGATTCCCTGGGTCACCAAACCCCTGCTGCTCATCATCCTTCATCAGCAGTTCCCTCAAAATGGGAAGTGCTTCCTAGTCCTGATGAATCCTTACCAGGATATTTGAGACCTTCTCAGTGGGGTGGGAAACTCCCCTTCTCAACCTCCCAAGTCCTTTGTTGTAAAGCAGCAGGAGAAAACCCTCCTGGGATCTGCTGCCTGTTGTTGTGGTGTCCTAAGGGTGAAGTGAGCAAAGGTTTGGTTGGAAAATAATTCAGGCAGGACCTTTTTACCTGGTCCAAGTCTTCTCCTGAGCAAGTGCTGTTTCTCTGGGCACATCCCTTTGGATGCATCTCTTCCAAGTGTGCGCCAGGAGCGCTGGGAAGTGTAGTAATTGAGCACTTGCATTGTTCTGGACATAGCAACTAATGATTTTTTCTGTATGATAATGCATCTTCATTACTCTGGGGAAATCATTTGCTCCTGTGAAGACAGGCCTCTCATTCCTGGGTTAAGGGGGAAGAGACTAATGGCTTAATTAAGAGGTTGGAGAGAAAAATCTGTCTTAACTCTTTTTTTGTGCGTGTGTGTTTGAAGAGGACTGCGGGGAGGGAGGTTGTGCAGGAAGCCTCACCTAGTGGAGCTGTTTGGGACCACTGCATGGAGCAGGGGACACAAATTCCAGGTCTTCAGTGCATCAGCCATGTCTCCCACGAGCCCTCTGGAGGAGCCTGGCGTGGGCCCGGGCTGCGGTTCTTTGTGGCGAGCGCTGAGATTTATCCTTGTGAGAGGGGAATGTTATTTAAATCTGCACATTTCGCAGGATGTGAAAGCAGCTCCACGTAATCTACAGCCTCTCCCTCCGCTGGGACCGCTCTATTAACATCTTTCATTTGTGGAGTTGGATGCTTTGCAGTTCCTTTCAGCGGTGATAATCCAGCAAAGAGCCCGCGCTGTTCACCCTGCGGGATTTATGGAGCCAGAGCCTGCCTTTGAATTTCCGTGCTGGCTTTGGCCAAACGCAGAGATATCACACAACCAGCAGCTTGAGGAACACGCTGGTTCAGGCTTTTGCTGTGGTGGGGTGCAGGGTGACCTGTTTGGGGCTGATTTGGGGACCCTTTGGGGAAGGAATGGAAAGGTCTGAGTGTGTCTGATGGTGACTGTGCTCTCCCAGGCTGCATCCCGAGGGGAACAGTGGGGCAAAGCCCTTTCATGGGAACAGGCAAACAGCTTTAAGCAGAGTCAACAGGAGCAGTGGGTCAACTGCTGGGGTTTTTAGGGTGGAGGAGACTTGTGTCCCTCCATCCAAGTGTTAGAACAGAGGAGTGGCAGCGCAAGGCATCTCTTTGTGAATCACAGAATCATCAAGGTTGGAAGAGACCTTCAAGATCCAGTCCAACCATCACCCCAGCACCACCATAACCACCCCTAACTCATATCCCCAAGGGCCACCCCCAGACACCTCTTGAACCCTTCCAGAGAGGGTGATTGCACCTCCCTGGACAACTTCTCCCCACACCCCATGAGCAAAGCCATCCTGCAAATGAGCACTGCTGCACCTCCTTTCCTGGGCTGGGCCCTCCTCGGGTGACTGGTCTCATGGGTGTCTCTGTGTTGGGATGTGAATGCCAATAGTTTTCTTACACACGAGGCTGGGTGGAGCCTCTGGCTTGGGTGAGGCAGGTCAGGTGCCAGGGAGCTGGGTTTTACCATGAGCCTTCCCCTTTCCCTGCTCCACCTGCAGTGCCTCCCAAACCAGAGGGCAGAGCACTCCTCCCTGTGCCAGGGAGCAGAGCAGGGGGAGCCTGGCAGCTCCCAGCTCGATGGGCACATCCCAACCAGTGCTCCTGAGGTGATGTTTTGGCTCCTGGAGGTGCCTGACTTGGCAGCCCCTGACACACACGTGGATCTCCACCCTCGGCTCAGCTCCCCCAGCTCCTCTCTCCTCGTGTGACTCAATTAAATATTAACACCAGTAAACACTTTAGTTCATCTGCACAGCCCTGGCTGCCCAATTATCCTCCTGCAGGGCTGTCAGACTGTGCCAGTTGCTTCCCTGGGTGCTGGCAGCCTTTGGGCTCCACGGCAGGGAAAGCCCTGCTTTCCAAACCTCTCTTCCCACCTTTCTCCTGCAGCTCCCCGTGCCTTGGGGTTACCTCAGTGTGAGATATCCCAGGGCACTGTTGGCCTCTCTGAGCCTTTTCAAAGGGCCACAAAGAGCTGTTTGTTCTTCTACAGCTGTTTTGCAGGTATTGACAGGGGAATAAAGGGGGGGTTTAGGTGATGGCTGCTTAGTAACCTGTAAACACAGGGTAGAGCTGTTGTTGTCTGTGACGTGCACAAGAGGTTCTTCATTCCCTGGAGCTGCAGGATGGTGCTGCTGCAGCTTGGGGGGGATCTGCAGCACCCCAGAAATCCTCACTGCCTCCCTGAAGGTGGCATTTTGCTGCTTTCACAATATTGGAGTTAAGGCTTTAGCTCCTCACCCTTAGAACCGTGGTGTGGAGCCTTTCCCCAGCCCCTGCACCAATATTGAGGGTGCCCTTCTGGGAACTCGACCCTCTTTTTGTGTTTTTATGCAGCTGATGAGATTTTGCTGACAAATGAAGGGAAATTGCTGCATCCAGCTCTCATGGCCTCTGTCAAGCAGAGCTGGTTTAGGGGTTTTTTTTGTTGCTTTTGTGTTCTTGCCTTTCAGGGCCTTGACATTCAGCGGAGTCCATTTCCAAGAGGGATGGGACAGCAGGATTTTACTGTGGTTTCAAAAGACATTTTAAGTGCTTGAACTCCTGCCATCACTGAGTTACACGCCTGGGTCTGGCCTTGACTGTGCAGGTTGAATTTCTTGCTCTGATTTCCAAGGCAGGCAGCATTAGCAGCTTGTCCTCGGCCAGACAGATCCGGGGGAGCAGCTAATGGGGTTTCTCTTTTCTGTGCTGTCCCAGACCTTGGCATCTGAGCTGGGCAGTGGGAAGAGCAGCAGAGCAGTGAGGACTCTCTGAGCTGCTCCTGGGCTGAGATCATCAGCCTGGGCAGAGTTTTGCCCCAGAACAAAATCCAGCTCGGAATTTTTTCTGGTCTCCATTAAAACTTCTTCCCCATTGGGATTGCTATTGACCAGGCTCTCTCAGGCTGTATTTCCTTCCTGGATCAATAAATCTCGCTATTGATTGCAAAATAAGTTGGTACCTTGGAAGCACAGTGGTTCTGGCTCCAGCAGGCAGCTCAGGGCCCTGCTGCTGCTGGAGATCCCAATCCCAGTTCCCACAGGTTGGATCTTCCATGGTCAGTGTCTGTGTCTCCAGCGCCACCTCTCCCTCTGGAAATGGGAAATATTCCCCTCTCCCCTCCAGAGGAAAGCAGGGAGATATTTGTCTGGACTTGGAAGTGCTTCAGCTGAAGGGAGCAGCCTGAATTTGTTGTCTCACAGGTGAAGAGCTCCTGCTCCCCTGCAGAGATGCTGTGATCCCAGTGATCCCATCTCTGCCTGGCACCAGCTCGGAGTGCAGCTGGAGATCACCCCTGTGGCTCCCTCACCTTCCTCGGGATAGGTCCCAACCCTCCAGCTGGCAGAGGGTGCTGGCTGCAAACTGCAGGCTCTTTGAGGCAAGGGAGGAAAACTGCTCCTTCAGCCTTCCAGGAATCTCTCATGGCATGTTGGAGCTGCCCAGGTGGGAGTCTTCTGAAAACCTGAGACCTCAGTGCTGCCTTCTGAGTCCTTCTGCAGGATCTGACTGGAGCCATCCTTGGTTATTTCTTTATTCCCCCCAGTGCTTTGCAGGGTAGAAGCTGCTCCTCTCCACAGAGTTGTTCTGAGCTGGTTTCAGAGCTGGTGAGTGGCCCAGCAGCCCCAGCCATCCTCATCCCCTCGCCTTTGCTCCCCAGCACCTTGTTTCCCAGCCCAAGGAGACCTCCTGGAAAGCCACTTCCTAAGGCACAAATCCCTCTGGGCTCGACAAACTTGTCCCTGTGGTGGCTTTTGTCCTGTGTGAGGTGTTTCCTGAGAAGCTTTACTCTCTCATAGCAGCCCCAGCTCGTGCAGGCTGAGCTGGCTCAGCAGCAGCTGAGGCATCAGGCAGGATCAGGATCCCCTGTGAAATCTGTTGGGAGTAATGAACCACAGATGACTCTGTTTTCTGAATCGATACCGAGCTGCTGTTTCTAGAAAGCTGCCAAGCACACAAATGTGAGGTTAGAGATGGAAAAGCACTTCCAGGGGGAGCTGGGAAAGCTGTTGGTGCTGTCAAGTGTCTCTGCTTTGCACCCAAGAGGCTTCTGTGTTGCTGTGTTGGACGAAGTGTCTGCTCCTGTTTTCTCCCTTGTTCCTTCCAGATCCTGGGAGGTTTAGTGCAGTTCACACTTGCAGAGCACTTGGGTAGAGCGTTCTTGAAAAGTGCAAAATATTTATTAGTATTTGCATAGCAGCCCCTGACCTGCTGTGAAGAAGCAGCCCTTCAGCTCTGCTGAGTAAATATACCTTCATTAAATAAAACTCTGCCTGTGCTGCACTGAACTGCTCTGTCTCACCTTCATCTGCTTTTTCATGTGTAAAAAGTCTTAGGAGTGTTTGACTTTAATGAATTTTGAGCATGCAAAGTGCCTGCCTGGCCCAAGGCAGGGCAGCATTTTGACCCTGGCAGTGCTGGTGACAGGTCTGAGCAGCATCCAGGGGGGCTGCTGACAAGGAATTTGCTTCAGGAGCACCTGTGCAGCCAGTTTAGAAGTGGCCTTATGGCTGGAAACCTGCAAAATGACAGGTTTAGGGTGGTGCAGGGGTGATTCCCAGCTTGGTTTGCAGGATGGGGGCATTGTCTGGGGCTGGGACAGGGCTGCTGGTGCTGCCAACCCCCCGTTCCTGGGGCATCACACCCCCCAGAAACCCTCCCCTAGTGCTGCTGCTGCAGAGCTCTTCAGGCTGCAAATGGGATGCCAAGGCTTTAGATGCTCTTGGTGGCCCATAAAATCTTCTTGAGCCTGACATGACGTTAAAGCTTGAAGAGGAACTATTTAAAGCAGAGTGTTCTCACAGGTGCTTGAGTTCGGCTTAATGCTGCTCCTGTCGCAGTTAAGTCTAGTTCAAACAAACTTTGTTCGACACTGAAAAGGCTCTGAGAACATTCCCCTCTCCCCCCCAGAGGAAAGCAGGTGGATATTTGTCTGAGCAGAGCCTCTGGAAGCTCTGGGCCTGGCTGTGCAGCACGGGGGCTTCAGGCATTTTCAGGCTGACTGGAGATGTGGAGCTCGGGAGCACTGGCCGTGATCCCCCAGCCCCCAGCCTTGGCAGACACGGCAGAGCAGCTCCCAGGCAGTGCTGGGTGTTCAGGGGGTTATTTCTGCTTTATATGTCATTGAGCAGCGTTGCAGGTTCACGGGGAAGCTGCTCCTTCTTTTCAGTGTCTTTCTTAAAAAAAAAGTTGCACAGCTCAACATATTTCCTTGATAAATTCCTGGAGCATCCCCTCATCCTTCCCTCGTGTCACCTGACAAATGGCTCTTTTGTCTTGTGTTCCTCCCTGACTTATTTGTGTTTAATGTAAGTGTGTCACAGGGAGAGGAACCCCGGCAGCACCAGCTTCTAACTCCGGGGGCTTGGTTTTCCTTTGGGAGCTGAGATGCTTTTTTTGTGCTTCTTAATTTTCATTCGAGGCTTCATTACAGATTATAAAATACAATTTTCAGCAGGTATGTCCACTTGTTTTCCTCACCTGTCAGCTCTTGGTCCCTACTGCCACGCTCTTGGACTCTGATTCGTGCACCCTCTGCCTTTGCTTCCCTCTCCTCAAGTGTTTTGTGGGAAAGCCAGATTGGGACTCTGTTCGTAGCTGTTGTACTTGGAGAGTCTTGTGAAGCTTCCCCAAACCCCAGGAATATGTGAGGGATAGAGAATAAACACCAGCTGCTGCAGTGCCACTGAATAAGGCTGGGAAAGCAAAATCCATCTGTATGTGCCAGACTCATCCCAGCCCATCCATGTTCCACTCCCTGTGCAGCCTGTTGGTCAGCAGCAGCCTTGGAGAACCACAGAATTCCAGAATGGTTTGTGATGGAATGGGAGGGACCTTAGAGCTCATCTGGTTCCCCCCCCTTCCACGGGCAGGGCACCTTCCCCCAGCTCAGGCTGCTCCGAGTCTTCGAGGGCTCTGCAGTCACAGGCAAGTTCTTGGTGCTTCCACCCAAACTGGGATGCCAGGAAGGATTTGTGCTCCTGCTGGTTTGCTCATTAATCTGCCAAAGGTGGGATTTGCCAAAATACTCCAGAGCTGGAGTTCAGCTGGTCTGCAGTAGTACAGCTCCTAAGGAGGTGAGGAGTTTAAACCGTGGGTGTTGCTGTCACCTCTGTCTTGGAGCTGAGGGGCTGGGGGTCTCTTAGAGCAATTGGGATCCAGATCCACTTTCTTTTTAGGCTTTTGGTGTCTGACTCTTTGGTACTGAGCCCCCTCTAAGACAAGATTGCTTCATTTGCATGGAGCAAAGCTGCTGCCATCAGCGTCCTGCCACAGCTCTCACCAGTTTACGACAGGTGAAGGAGAATTAAACACCAGGAGGATTATAAGCAGACAAAATGCAATTACTCAGGGAGAAATCCAGTGAGATTCTGCTGAATAGCCTGTATTAAAAGGACTTTTGGGGCTTCTTAGCTGTCTGGAAGCTTTGGGATCTGCTGAGACCGTGCCTGGAGAAAAGTAGCTGTAAGTCCCCACTTATGGGGGGGATGTAAGTCCCCACTCCTTCACCTAAGGAGAAGGTTGCTGGGCTGAAGGTGATGTTGGGAGTGTTCTTTACTTGGGGATGAAGTTCAGACCCTGGCATTTGGGGCAGGGTGTGTTGCTGTGATGCACCTTTGGTGGGTTTCCACCCCAGGGAAAGGCTGTGGAGTCAATGCCTGTGTGTGACCTGCCCAACTCCAACCCCCTCTGGCCGTGTGGGTCTGGTCCAGCTGGGAACTGAGCACCCCCTGGGGTGAGGAAGAGGTGAGCTGTGCCTTTGTTCCACCGTGCCTTGGCACATCTCTGTTTTCCTGGTGGTCACACAGGGTCTGGTGACCACAAAGGAGGGGTCTGGAATAGAGGTGCAAAACAGGCTCTGACAGAGAAACCCTCAAAAAGTGCATTTTCCTCTGGGCAACCAACGAGGTATTGGGAGAGAGCTGAAAGAAGATCTGAATGGTGTGGTGGGGCAACTTTCCCCAAGATCATCCTCCTCATCCTC